CGGAACTGCAACTCTTCGCTCGCTGCTGAAGATAGGGACGCAGCGCTTATGAGAATGTCCCGAGTTCTGTGATGTCAATTCTTCATTGAACATTCAACATTCATGCACAATTATGAAACAAAATATTGTTATTGTTCGTCCATCACAAGTGAAGAGGACCCCAGTTTCTTTCATCCAATGCGAAATTGCAGTTGACTGTGTATGAATCCCGAGATGACTTACGGGGCCGGAAAGATATAGGGCAGTGTTTTTCAAATCATGGGCCACGGCTCACTAGTGGGCTTCAGTTAAGTCTAGATGGGCAGCTAAATGTTTTGCCCAATCATTGTTATGGAGTAGGGTAAGTATCCCCCCCCCCCCTTTTCCATGATTTTTGTTTTGAAGCCCCAGCCTGGCTGTTGCCTGGAGCCCTTATATAACCCAACGTATGGGTTAAACGGGGTTTCTGTGACGTATCGGGTGATCCTCATCCGAATTGTGGCACTTTGTAATACCCGGTGTTTATCGCGTTGTGTGATTTCTTAATAGGTTAAAACGTCAGTCAGTTTGCAGATGTCGCATTCGTTGAAAATTGTCATTTTGTGATACTGAATTAAATAACATTACTACTGTCTGCATGTATTTCCTTCTGTGTTTGGTTAACGGTCAAATGGGCGGCGGCATAATTTACCCTGTTTTGGTGGGCGTAAATCAGGTTTAGGAACACTGATAAAAGATACTAGGAACCAGGAACAGTGTCTGTAGGCAAAGAGTTTATTCATTAAATCGTCGTCGAAGCTACGGAAGTCGTGCTCTGTCCAACGATCTCGACAGGCAGCTAGCTGTTCCACAGAGAGATAGCGAGCCATGAAGGATAAAACCCGGTGCAATGAAATCTATTTTCTCCCCTATACCTTTTATAGAGGTCTTGCTAGCCTGTCTTCACTTTTCCGCTGCCATTTTCTTCTCTTCTAGATTCCTCACAAGTCGCCGAGTGTTTTTAGATAGACGTTCGCTATGTTGCCCGGTCTTGTGAAAAGAGACAACAGATGATGCAAAAACAAGAGAAAATATAATCGAATAGAAAAAAATAACTAAACAGTCGATTATACTTGTTTATAACAAAATCAAGATGGCTGTTGACCAGTGTTTCCCAAACTGTTCCTGTCGCGGCGCCTTTTTTAATTATAATTTTTCCACGGCGCCCTAGTCTAAGTAAAAGTATGACTATTCGTGTCTTGGTTAAATTTTGTAGCTTTTACAATATATCGCAGCTGTGAAGAGGTCGCGGCTCCCCGCACAGTTTGGGAAACACTGCCGTCGACAATCATAAGAATGCTAAGAAAACATGTAATGAAACTGAGTGCACTCTGATATATCAAGGATTTCGTAACGCTTTGAAGGTCAACAAAATGCCAGTCACCGAACCAGAATAGTAATCTGTCACACTATGTGAACTTAATAAACAAAACAGGGTAGGTAAAAAATAAAAGACAAAACAGATATTCCAAGCTCTGATTTCAAAATAAATTAAAAAGGATACAAGGAATAATTACAATGTCTTGCTTAGAACTGAGAGCATTAATGAACAAATGAAAATGACAACCACCCCATCAAATAAGCAAAGATGTATTATGTGTGTTATTACGGCAAATATCACAAAATACGAAGAAGGAGATGATTAATGAAGCCATCTTGAAAATTGATGGGCAAAAGAAATTAAAGTTAAAAGAAAATTAGAATCAAAAGAACTAATCACAGAAATGCATATGACGACAAAGAGGGGGATAACAATTACTGTTGACATTACATGATGGATAGTAAAAGAAAACTGATAGCAGATTAAAAGAATACATAAGGGAATAGTACCAGCAATCAGGAAATTAGAATGAAACAAAACAACAACAAAATATTGAGAGGGAAAACGAACTGCAAGAAGCTCAAGTACAACAAAGAGACGTGGTCGTAGTGTGAGAGAATTTAAAAGTTGTCAAGCAAATATCTGACTAATGATAACACCCCCACCCTTTGAGAAGAAGAAAAATGGGAAAAAAAAAGTTCGTTTCCGTTTTGCGACCACATAATACGAGATTTAGGGACATCCCATATTATGGGGGGGGGGGGGGGGGGGTTTATGTTGAATGAATGACGACTCCCTATAACCATAACCCTTCCTTCTTCTTCTTCTTCTTCTTCTTCTTCTTCTTCTTCTTCTTCTTCTTCTTCTTCTGCTTCTGCTTCTGCTTCTGCTTCTTCTTCTTCTTCTTCTTCTTCTTCTTCTTCTTCTTCTTCTTCTTCTTCTTCTTCTTCTTCTTCTTCTTCTTCTTCTTCTTCTTCTTCTTCTTCTTCTTCTTCTTCTTCCTCCTCCTCCTCCTCTTCTTCTGCCTTTCTAGCCCCCAACGGAGTATAGCCCCTTAACCTTGCATCATTTGCATGTCTCAGCGCTGGAAGTACACTACCATGCAATTATTAATGAAACGTAATTGCACCGCAGTCTGCCAGAGAGCGCAGGGCCTGGTACACGGAAGCAGATTATGTCCTGTTTAAGCAAGTTATTATTCTATGCCTTAGAACAGGACACAATCGACTTTGGAGCCATATGTACACTTATCTGAAAATTGGCGAATTAGCAACTGCAACTATTAGCGTGTCGGCTCTTCGCTGGCTACTGAAGAGTGGGAAAGAGCATCTGTGGCAATGTCCGAGTGCACTTATGTCGGTTCGTTCATTCATTTATTCATACATTCTTCAGACATTCATGATCTTTAGATGCCTCCGAATTTTTCACTTGCTCCCAAAGAGTCCTGACTTCATTTAATCATCTAGTGGTGCATGCCCAGCCAGTTTGCCTCTTTGTTAATCTCCTAACACACCAGTAAACCCCGGATAAAATATCAGAAGAACACTGAAACTGAATTGTTAGCTTAACAACTGCTACCCCATGGCATCGCTGTTATACTCCTTCAAACATAAATATTTATTTTAAGCTCAACCCATCGGGATTTAAGGAGTTTAAGTAACAATTGTTGGCTTACTTCTGAATGAGTTAATTTAAGTCATATCTTTATATGTCAGTTGCGTATCCTTTACATGACACTGCAGAACCAACCCTATCTTTTTATGGCTATTATGGTTTTTCTAGGCAGATCTGAAGTTCAGTAGTTTGCCATACCTAAAGGTCAGTTCTCGGTACCTTTGTCGAAACCAGCGCAAGTACACCCCTCGCAGCTGGGATCGAACCCAGCACTCTGGCATTACGAAGCGTGTTCGCAACGCCTAAGCCACAAAAGCCAACATATCCTTATACACTGAGGTGAATTATGGACAGTTTGCCGATTAATGTTTAAATTGAGATTTAAGACGCTTAAGTAGAATAAATTCAGGAACATCTGGAGTAAGACAAGGGTGTGTCTTATCACCTTTGATATTTTTCCACATACGTGCTATGGAGTTATAATGTTATGGAGAACATTTATACACGAATTGAAACTATAGTTTAATTAATTTGCAACGGTTTTTTTAAATGAATTATTATTTTGAAGATAAAAAATAGGCTATTAGAAAATATGTATTTTTAAAATGATAATTTACACATGTTGCAAATTGATTAATTTGTAGTTTAATTTGTGTATAAATCTATAACAATTTTTAGCACCGACCGGCCACGCCAGCCTCACAAAAACGGAAATTCCCTATTCAGCTGTATGGCCTTATATCTGAAGCTGGCCGTGCTCGACATCAGCGCGATGTGCTGCGGTCGATGTGGCCACGAGAGCACGATGCAGACAGTTACATCTCACTTGACACCTGAAGCGATATACTTGTATGTTTACCTGAACAAAAGATTAGTTTTGTATTTTTTTTTATATACAGAAATACACTCACACACACCCATATAGACACACACACACACACACACACACACGCGCACACAAATATCCACACAGACGCATCCTTGTGTAACAGGCTGGAAACATACGGTTCAGCAGCCTGAAGATCTTGAATTTATTCTGTTTTGAGATTAGCCAACAGGCAAAATGAGAAACATTACCATTCATTAGTGTTAGACGATAACACAGGAAAAATCTGGCCACTGAGGTATTTAAACGGCCGACTGACAATTATTTGGCCTTCTTCTATCTGGTGGTCACTCCGGCTTGCTACGGTCAAGCGCCTTGTTGTCGTTGTCGACTACACTTGGTCGCAATGCACAGGTGCGTCAGAACGGACTGGCTGAGCGACACTAGACTGGCTCGGATCACGGTACGTCAGTTGGTTAGATGCTTTTAAAATAGATCTTCATTTGTATTCTTGCTAAGAGATAGTTGGATGGCAGATCGCTATATATTTGAGATTTTGTCCAGCAGTTTGTCGTCCTTAATGTCATTATTTGTTGACCACGCTGATGTAATGTTGAGTAAAATAAACTGTTCAATGTGATCATAATTCATTTGCTTGACTTAATTTAGGATCTGTAGCCCGTGGTTGTCTAGGTGTGTGTACCCATGTAGTTAGGTCGACGTCATGTCACGTTATTATGCAGATATCCATAGTTAGGGTCTCGGTGAAATATCTGGGATCTCTGCGGAGAAGAACCCCTGTCTTTTCTTTACTTTTCTGTTTGTTGTTTAGCGAGGAACTACTATGACTTTTGTCTAATCACAATTTTCTCCTTTTCTCTCCCTTTCTTCTTGTTTTTCCTCCTTCTTTCTCCCCGCTATCACACTTGCACACACTCACTCTCAAACGAAATAACACACACACACACACACACACACTGAATAGACTGCATACCTTTAGTTTACCAACTGAAGCCGCGAGACAGGAAAACTATCCGGGAGCCACCCGTGGTTACATCATCCAGAACAGAATGGGAGTTGTTAGCCTAAAAAACACACGGAGGCACACTTAGGGGAAGAACGGAGTACTTGTGGTCATGTCCGATGTGCGAGTAAGAATAGCTTGAAATGAACAAAGAACATAAACACACATACAATCGTAATTTATATTTTCTTTTTCAGTCACTATCATTGGCAACCTGACCTTGATCTTCGTGCTCTTATGCAAGAGGTCCAGGAGAAAGAAAAGGGTCAATATCCTGCTGCTAAACCTGGCACTGGGTGACCTCGCCGTGGCCGTGTTTGTCAACAGCACCGAAATTTTGTTTGTGGCTTTCGGCGACTGGGCTTTGGGCCCTATCGTCTGTAAGATCAGCGTCTATGTGCAGGTAAAGCCGTTCATCGTCTTCTTTAGTTTGTCCAGAATTAGATTATGTATATCTGCAATGTTGTTGTCTCTAGTATGAACTTCGCTGTTTTGTGTGTGCATATAATTTATCCAGTTTTACGGTGGCAAGGAACAAGATCCCCACGGTTCTGGAGGAACCGGTGAAGAGCCTTGGTCGCGTTTACGATTCGAAGTTATCTGATAGAGCGGAAGTCCAGCGAATACACGAGTCACTGGCTACAGGCCTGCTCGCGATCGAGCGATGCAGGCTGATCGGGAAATTCAAGGTATGGTGTCTCCAATTCATGTTGATTCCAAAGCTCCTATGGCCACTGTTAGTCTACGAGGTGACGATGACTGCAGTGGAAACCATGGAGAAAAAAATCAACACAGCCTTGAGAAAGTGGCTTGGTGCACCGCCTTGTTTGACCGACGTGGCTCTGTATTGTAAGAAGGCTAAGCTGGTACTTCCGTTCAAATCAATAACCGAAGAGTTTAAAGTCGGCAATGTAAGGCTCGCCATGCTCTTGCGCGAGTCTTCAGACCCAAATGTCATCGCTGTCCAGCCCGCTCTAAAGACTGGCCAGAAGTGGAGAGTCTTCGATGCGATAGAATCTGCCCAGAATGCACTAAAATTGAAAGAGATAATGGGATACACTCAAACAGACCGTCGAGGCCTAGGGCACGGGAAGGTCAATTGGTGGTCAAAGGCCTCAGCCAAAGAGCGCCGAGACATGGTAATACAAACGGTGAGGGACAACGAAAACGAGGTTCGGGTCCAGAAAGCAGCCCAGCAGTCGCAGCAGGGCCATTGGGTCAGCCTGGAGAGCGCATTGCCAAGAGTACTCACATGGGGTGAGATCTGGCGGATGACCCCGCTGCGACTGAGCTTTATCGTTCGTTCGGCGTACGATGTATTACCGTCCGGTGTTAACATGGTTAAATGGTCTGCGACCAACGATCCGACTTGCCCGTTGTGTAAATCGAAGCAAACACTTGAGCACGTCCTGTCCGCGTGCAGGAAAGCCCTAGGTCAAGGCCGATACACTTGGCGACACAACAAGGTGCTAAAAGAGTTAGCAGCCGTTGTCGACCAGGCTAGAATGATGGCTAACGCCAGAGCCAGTTCTAGTATCGTCCCCATTCGTTTCCTCAAGGCTGGGCAGGTTCTAAAAGGTAAGGTCAACCAAAACGCATTCGCTCCATCTGTGCTAGACTCTGCGAGGGACTGGTTACTGGCGGTTGATCTGCCGGGCCATGAAAGGTAGCCCGAGTTGATCCGTAAGACCGGCCTGCGACCGGGCATAGTTCTCCACTCTGCGCAAAAACGGCAGCTCATCCTGATTGAGTTGACCGTCCCGTTTGAGTCGCGTATGGAGGAGAATCACATTTATAAGCTCGAGAAATACAGTGATTTAGCAGCCGGTCTGAGGAGAAACGAGTCGTACACGGTACGGGTCTTTGCCGTCGAAGTGGGAGCGAGAGGCCTCGTTTCCACTTCGCTCTACAATGTGGTTAGAGAACTAGGATTGCGCGGTAATGAACGGAAACGAACACTCAAAAAACTGGGAGAGGTAGCCGAAAGGGCCTCTAGCTGGCTTTGGACGCAACGCAACAACGTAGGGGACGGGCCTCGGTGAGCTGGTCCGGGTGTCTAGTGGAAAAGGGTTTCTCACCCCTTGAAAGTCCATCGTGTCCGAAGTGTCTGCCAGTGTTCCTCTGCCAACTGCTAATAAAAGTCCAACACGTGTCCGGTAAACCAAACGTAAGCTTGTCGCTCGGTCGTCCAGGCACGCCGACTGTTCTAATTAGGCTGCCGCAACGACTTCTTATCTCACAGTACCTTCTGCAAACCACCAAGTCGTCTTGTCTCTGGCCGAAAGAAAAACACCATCCGGTAATTTCGTGCAGCAGGGAACCAGCCCTGAGCTTCATGAACTCAGATGGGCCCACCTCCGAATGCGTCTAGGAATCGTGGGCCGAAACGCGTGTCGACGAGGATAATTTCTACTGATGACTGGTAGATCCCTGCTGTACTTGCTCCCTGTGAGTTTATTCCTATATCCATCGATACATGAAGTTTGGCTTTCACAGGTGTTTCTCTTGGCCAGAAGATCTACCTTCATATGTTGTATCTGGGGCAGTCTTGGAGGACATGATCTGTTGTATCAGATGTCAATCCAATTGTGCACATAGCTGATTCAACAATCTTACATTGCGTGTGCATGTGGCTGCGATGTCGATTGGCACTGTTTCAAGGCGTAGAATAATGACTTGCTAAGGTCTGCTCATAATATGGTAATCGTCTAATGCCAATTTTGGTGATCCTCTGATTGATTTGATTTTCTCTTCTTCTGTTGATAGAAGACTGTTGCGTCTGGTTGTTCTTCATTTATACCGTCCTCAGCTTGTTTATCAGCATGACAATAGGATCGTATCCATTGCATAGTTACCTTTCACCGGTTGTCTAGTTTGCAGAGTAGTGTCAGTATACATGGTAAATTTCCGGATTCGAATGCACGAAGTACCGCTCTTGCATCTGTCAGGAATAACACGGATTGTGAAATGTGCTGTGAAATATGACTGGTATTTATCAGTCTATCAGGAATATATTTCTAGTTATTTAGTTTAGTCGAAAGATTATTCTCATTGCGCGTCGAACCATTCAGTCCATAAGTGCTCGGATCCCCTGCTCAGTATACCCCACAGCATATAGAGGTTGACGACACCCGTTCTGTGTTTTGTTTCTTATTCTTCCCTGCATAATGCTCTTGTGTGGCTACTACTCTTTCAGCATGCTGTTCTTGCAGTTTAGTCATGGTTGCAGATTCACAGTCATCACTTGATTCTCGCAAACGTTTTACTTTTCGTATAGCACTCAAAATATCTGACTGGTCCAGGTCTCCTTCAGCCATCCGCAGCAGCTGTACCAGCAAGCCTATCAGCTTGTTGATTTCTTAGCACGCCTGCATGACCCGGCACGAATATAGTGTTCTTGTTGTTGTTATCGATCCAGGAGCGCATGAGCGTTCGCCCTTTGGGGCAGTGCCACGTAGCGGAATTTACATGTTTTCACAAGCTATTCTTTACCTCCATACAATGTGTTCCACTTGTCTGATCTCAGAGGGTGTAGCATTCTTCTAGTTCCGCTTGTCTGATCTCAGAGGGTGTAGCATTCTTCTAGTTCCACTTGTGTGATCTCAGAGGGTGTAGCATTCTTCTAGTTCCACTTGTGTGATCTCAGAGGGTGTAGCATTATTCTAGTTCCACTTGTCTGATCTCAGAGGGTGTAGCATTCTTCTAGTTCCACTTGTCTGATCTCAGAGGGTGTAGCATTCTTCTAGTTCCACTTGTCTGATCTCAGAGGGTGTAGCATTCTTCTAGTTCCACTTGTCTGATCTCAGAGGGTGTAGCATTCTTCTAGTTCCACTTGTCTGATCTCAGAGGGTGTAGCATTCTTCTAGTTCCACTTGTCTGATCTCAGAGGGTGTAGCATTCTTCTAGTTCCACTTGTCTGATCTCAGAGGGTGTAGCATTCTTCTAGTTCCACTTGTCTGATCTCAGAGGGTGTAGCATTCTTCTTGTTCCACTTGTCTGATCTCAGAGGGTGTAGCATTCTTCTTGTTCCACTTGTCTGATCTCAGAGGGTGTAGCATTCTTCTAGTTCCACTTGTCTGATCTCAGAGGGTGTAGCATTCTTCTAGTTCCACTTGTCTGATCTCAGAGGGTGTAGCATTCTTCTAGTCGCGATGAGTTTTGGGCACTCATTTGAGCAAGAATATGAATCGTACATGCTTGACCTCCACTATAAATGTTTTAAGTCATCAACAAGAGACAGTAACCATTTCTGACCATGTTCTGAAGAGAAAAAAAGAAAAAACCAGAAGATGCAACATGAACAAGGAAAGAGTCACATAGAAAGACAATACAAGAATAACTATGACAGTCTTTAGTCATGGCGGGAGTGCGCAACATTAACAAGGAAAGAGACACAGAGAAAGACAATACAAGAATAACTATGACAGTCTTTAGTCATGGCGGGAGTGCGCAACATTAACAAGGAAAGAGTCACATAGAAAGACAATACAAGAATAACTATGACAGTCTTTAGTCATGGCGGGAGTGCGCAACATTAACAAGGAAAGAGTCACATAGAAAGACAATACAAGAATAACTATGACAGTCTTTAGTCATGGCGGGAGTGCGCAACATTAACAAGGAAAGAGTCACATAGAAAGACAATACAAGAATAACTATGACAGTCTTTAGTCATGGCGGGAGTGCGCAACATTAACAAGGAAAGAGTCACATAGAAAGACAATACAAGAATAACTATGACAGTCTTTAGTCATGGCGGGAGTGCGCAACATTAACAAGGAAAAGAGTCACAGAGAAAGACAATACAAGAATAACTATGACAGTCTTTAGTCATGGCGGGAGTGCGCAACATTAACAAGGAAAGAGTCACATAGAAAGACAATACAAGAATAACTATGACAGTCTTTAGTCATGGCGGGAGTGCGCAACATTAACAAGGAAAGAGTCACATAGAAAGACAATACAAGAATAACTATGACAGTCTTTAGTCATGGCGGGAGTGCGCAACATTAACAAGGAAAGAGTCACATAGAAAGACAATACAAGAATAACTATGACAGTCTTTAGTCATAGCGGGAGTCGCTGTGGCGCTGGCGGCTAGACGCCCGCATTAGCATCGGAAGGTCGTGGGTTCGCGTCCTGACGGAGCCGCCCATTTTTTAAAATTACCTAGACTCCTAGGTCGATCCAGCCTTGAGTGGGCACCAGGTGCAGTCCTGGGAAGGAAAGGCGGCCTGTGTGACACTGATCACATCACCCACTAAGAGCCGATTGGTCTATAAAAATGCAGGCCTTGCCCTTGAATCCTAATACGCCTAAAGACGTGAAAAAGGGCCCTTTCTTTTTCTGCCTTTCTATCCCCCAATGGAGCATAGGCCCTCATCCAACTCACGCTAAGTCGTTCTATCCTTCGCCATTGCATGGAGCTCTCC